CTGTTTTTGTGTTAAACCACTTCGAAAGTCATAATAAATCATCGCTCTTGAATTTTCTCGAGTCAATTCCATTTTCTCAAGGACTAAACAAGTTTGACAAAACTTTGTGACAAGACCGATAACCTTTTTTTAAATAAATAAATGGTATTCGATTTTTAAAACCAAGGGGTTTTCAATTAAAAAGATTTTAATATGACAGGAACAGTGGAAATATTCCCTTCCCGATACTTTTAGTGCAACCTATGTATTTATCTTGAATGTCTATATTGAATCGATAGACTTGACCACACAACAAGAAAATAAATCCTCGGTTTGCGTCCTATGAATGTAATTTTATTTTGCCGTTTGTCGAACAGATTTCCTCCTACTTCTATAATTAATAAAAATGGTTAATATTAATTAGACGGGATGAATAGAATCCAAAGAAAAACTCCACACTTTGCAGCAAACATTTACTTGAGAAGTATATAGTATAAAAAAAAGTAGAACAAAAACAATTTTATTAAAAGGAGCCATTTCTACATTATTTGTTATTTAGTTTTTTAGTTATATATATATATATATATATATATATATATATATATATATATATATATACAACGTGTCCCAAAATTTAACAATAAGCCAACACCGGAGGATAGACCTGCCCCGGACTAATCGGGTAAAAAAAGAAAAAAAAATATATCCCAATTATATTTTAAGTTATATAAAAAAAATGAAATTCTTCAGAAATTGAGACCGTTTATGATATTTTTCACTACCATGACCACAATTTTTTAAATATTTTTTTCTTTTTTTTTTATAGGCAACCTGAATAGTACTGCTATCTACCACAATTCTTAAAAACTCCAGAATAACTCTTGTTTTATCACGAAAATTAATGAAACTTATTTTATTCCCTAAATTTTTTGAAGACTTTTACTTTTAACCAAATTTAACTTATCGTGGTGTAAAAAAAAAGTATGAACACTAGTATGGCAAGTTTTTTTAAAAATTGACGCAACTAACCAATATTCCAAAATGGTATAATACTCTAGGAAAACAAGTTATAAAAAAATATGGGCCTATTATTTCTTAACAGGGGCCAAATGACGGTCGGGTGTAATAAAAGTATTATTTCTTGAAAAATGTTTAATATTTCAAAACAAATGGTACAAACAGTTTCACGTGTAATTTATTAAGTTATTAACATTATAGCAAATGTTCGAACTGTTTGCCACCAGCATTAATACATGCACGACATCGCCTTAAAAATGATCGTTTTATTTGTCTTGCATATCTTCTGCTATTAATGTAATCAGCAGCCTGAGTGATATTTCGACGAAGCTCGTCCAATGTCACAATGGGTTTTGAGTAGACCCTGTTTTTAAGACAACCCCAATAGAAGAAGTCCAGGGGGTTCAAATCGGGTGAACGGGGTGGCCATAAGATAGGACCAAGTCGCCCGATCCAACGCCCTGGATACTCTTGATTTAAATATTCTCGCACAGGACGGGCATAATGTGCTGGGCAACCATCATTTTGGAACCACATGTTTTGAAGATCACTTAAGGGCACGTCGTTTAACAATTCTTGCAAGTCATTTTGTAAAAAGTTTAAATAACTATTGCCATCTAAGTTTCCTTGTAACTCAAAGGGCCCAATTACTTTTCCATTTAATATGCCGGTCCATAGGTTAACCTTGAATTGATATTGGGATTTGTCTTGTCTCATCAAGTGTGGATTTTCATTACTCCAACTATGTAGATTGTGAAGATTTAAATACCCATCTTTCTTGCACGTTGTTTCATCCGACCATAGAATTTTGTCTAGGAAGTGGGGATCTTCACTGTGCCTTTGTAGCATTACACGGCAAAATGTGACCTGTAGCGGATAGTCCCGCGGTAATAACGTCTGCACACGCCTGTAGTGATATGGGTGAAGCTTGTGACGTTTTAATATTCGATGTGCAGAACTTTTCGGGATTCCTGTAGCTTCTTCTATGGCACGTACCGAAGTAGTCGAGTCATTTTCTATCTCCTTGAGAACTTCTTCATCACGATCCAATCTAGGTCTTCCAGCGCTGCTCCTATTGGATGGCATACGACCCTCCGAAAACGCTTGATGCACATTAATAAACACTCGATAATCAGGATATCTTTGAGCATTTGGGTATCTTTCTGGTTACAGTCTGCTAGCAGCGTTAGCATTACATCGGCATTCTCCATAGATTAAATGCATATTAGCGTATTCCTGTGGTGTGTACGGTTGCGGCATGTTAAACGCCAAACAGTCCAAAATGCGCCAGAACTCTAAATCACAAAACACACAATCGTAGTCCAAGATAATGCCAGGTCAGTTCAGTTTGCAGATCACTTCCAGTCCAAATAATGCCAGGTCAGTTAAGTTTGCAGGTCGATTCCAGTCCAAAAAGCCAAGCCAAAAGTCGATAGTATGTACGAGGGCCACGTAAGTTGAATTGGGTACGGTGCGCAGTAAACAAAGGAGCAGAGCGTACTGAACCGACTTGCTGAGAATAATAACAGCTTCTCTACCTGCCCTGTTGTTGTCTCTTTTTAACGTAAATATCTCTATCTATCTATCTCTCTCTAACATCTAAGGTATTAATGCCCCATTCGAATTCCTAGAAATTGTAACAGGAACCCATTTTGGGCATGTAGTAAAAGTGATTACTGACAATTACAATTTAAGGAATTTGGCCCCTGTTAAGAAATAATAGGCCCATATTTTTTTATAACTTGTTTTCTTAGAGTATTATACCATTTTGGAATATTGGTTAGTTGCGTCAATTTTTAAAAAACTTGCCATACTAGTGTTCATACTTTTTTTTTTACACCACGATAAGTTAAATTTGGTTAAAAGTAAAAGTCTTCAAAAAATTTAGGGAATAAAATAAGTTTCATTAATTTTCGTGATAAAACAAGAGTTATTCTGGAGTTTTTAAGAATTGTGGTAGATAGCAGTACTATTAAGGTTGCCTATAAAAAAAAAAGAAAAAAATATTTAAGAAATTGTGGTCATGGTAGTGAAAAATATCATAAACGGTCTCAATATCTGAAGAATTTCATTTTTTTTATATAACTTAAAATATAATTGGGATATATTTTTTTTTCTTTTTTTACCCGATTAGTCCGGGGCAGGTCTATCCTCCGGTGTTGGCTTATCGTTGAATTTTGGGACACGTTGTATATATATATAACTATTAAAATAAAACTAATTGTGTTAAATTTACAACAACGAATGTTAAAAATCTAAATACCAATGTGTTTTTAAATGGGGAGGAATTGAGCCCTGTTGTATCCACTGTTTTTCTTGGCATCACTCTTGACGCAAAGCTCCAGTGGGGCCCCCATATATCCAAATTAGCAAGCAGACTAAGTTCTGCAGCCTATGCTGTAAAAAAGATTAGAGGTCTCACTAGTGTCAAGACAGCTAGATTAGTTTATTTTAGTTATTTTCATAGCATAATGTCTTATGGGATTTTGCTATGGGGAAATGCGGCTGATTCAGAAACTATTTTTGTTTTACAGAGAGGGCCATTAGAGCTATTTACAATCTAAAACCGAGAGAGTCTCTTAGAGATAAATTTAAAGAAATTAATATATTAACTTTGGCCTCTCAGTATATTTACGAAAATTTAATGTATGTTCACAAAAACAAAGATAGTTTTAGTAAAAAAAGTGATATACATTCTGTAAACACTAGGAACAAACACAAGCTAGTGATGCCAGACTCTCGACTCCACAGAGTCAGTAATTCATTCTTGGGGCAATGTATACGCTATTACAACAAGGTCCCGGAAAGTGTACAGGTTCTCTCTATTACCAAGTTTAAATGTTTTATTAAGCTGAAACTGTATAAAAAGGGTTATTATAGTATAAATGAATACATGGTTGATAATAACCCCTGGGAATGAGGTGGTCGCTTCCAAGCAGTTTCTAAAATAAATTTTGTAAATAGTTCGTAATCATTTATATTGTAAAATTTATTTAAAAAAAAGTCCCGCTGGGTTTCTTGCTGTATCTTCCCAGGACAGAGGGTTTTTTTCGAACCAGTGGTAAAGTAAAAAATGACTTTGAATAAGAATTACACATGTAATGTATATTGAATAAAAATATTCTATTCTATTCTATATATATATATATATTATAAGATCGGGTGACAAACGAGCACACAGTCCACCTGATGATAAGTGGTTACTGTGACCCATAGACATCTACATCTATCCTCAATAATGACTCAAGATGCAGATGCGTTGTCACCCGTGAGGACTAAGATGGAATGCCTCTTTGCCAGTAAAAAGGGTCTCCGGTTCTCTACACTCACCATACGAAACACAGCAGCGTTAAGCTGCTGTTTTTAAAAGTTGTGATTATCGTCCACTAAAGTGATAACAGCTGAGTGATGTGCCGAGGTCACGACCTTAGTGAAGTTAGTGTATGACGCGTGCGCGCGTGCCTCCCGTCTTTGATTTACGCCGCTGCCGGCCGCCGCTGCCGGCCGCCGCTGCCGGCCGCCGCTGCTTGCTGCATCGCTTTAGTTGCTTGATAATTCCAGGCAGAGGTAATCAATCCACATAAAATTTACAACTGTAGCGCGCCGATACTTACCTATGTCACGCCTACGCCACGGGATCACGCCACTCGTCTGAACCTTGACTGCCAGTACGAGTACGCTTGCCGACTAGCTCCAAGGTATATGTGTATTATTGATTGATCCTGCGCTCGCGCTGCGTTTCGCGAGACCCTGTTCGTATCAATAGTTGCCTATATGTATATGTTACTATTTAAGTGAATAAACTGAGCATTCGGATTATTTGTAAAGTTTCATTTATAATGCGTGACCAGTGAACGTTATATTGGCTCCCAACTGCGGGCCACGAACGAACCTACGGTGGCTCTCGAAGTTTTTAGTGCACAAGTACGTACGCGAGTGTATGCCTAGTGTACCCACACGTTTTTCCTTGATATTGAGACGCGAAATACAAGGACTCAGTCATAATGCCGCCGCGAAAACCACGTAATAATGACTCCAGTTCAGATGAGGAACCGGTGAATCCGACACCTGTGGCACCTGTAAACCCGACACCTGCAGCACCTGTGCTTATGTCCAAGAACCAGATATCGTCGCTTCTGGCCGCCTTCTCTGTGGCACAAACCGAGGCAAACCGCAAGCTCGTCCAGTCTCTTCTGACATCGCACTTAGGGGCGCCGCCAAATGTTGATTCGAGTGCTGCTGGCGCGGCCACTGTCACGTCACTACGGTCGTCATCTATCCCAGGGACATTCGTAAAATGCACTGCACGGTTTGACGGTTCGTCTCAACACCCGGAAGCAGTGGAAGCATTCATTGACGCGGTGGAAATGTATAAGGATTGTGCATCAGTTAGTGATGAGATGGCACTTCGCGGTCTTCCTATGTTACTTCAAGGAGACGCAGCAGTGTGGTGGCGTGGAATCCGAAACGAAGTACACTCGTGGTCGGATGCTGTGAAATGCCTGCGCTTGATGTACGGAGTTCCACGACCTGCATATAAGTTGTACCGAGACGTTTTTGCCGCCAAACAAGGATCGGGGCGTGCCGATATTTTGGTCGTAAAGTTAAGGGCTTTGTTGGCGAAACTACCCTATGAGTTACCAGAGGAAGCGAGATTAGATATGATTTACGGGCTTCTACATAAGAGAATCAGAAAACGGTTGTCGAGAGATACTGTGAATGACATCGAATCTCTCACTGAAAGATCTCGAGCTATAGAAGAGTCGCTGTCGGAGAACGCTGCGATGCCACCGCTCGCGCCGCCACAACCGTCAGCGTCGCCGCTGAGTGTACCCGCGAGATCCAGCCGCAGGCATGGCGAGGGAGCTCAGCATAGTACTTCGGGTTCGAGTTTGACGGCGCCTCAACTGCGCACCCCCGTCTCCGCTTCGCAGTCATCACGTGACCGCGCACCAGCCCCGCGTAGTGATCAGTGTGTGAGCAAAACTAGTGATGGTGAGAAAAAGCTATTCTGTGTTTACTGCAAAACGCGAGGACACGTCCGTGACTCCTGTGATAAGTTAAATAAAAGATCTCATTCTTCTAACTCAGGTATTGTTTATTATAATTGTGGCGACAAAGGTCATATTAGAGTAAATTGCCCTAAATGTTTACGGAGTATACCTTCTAATGATAATGTTAAGGTTGAAAATGTATTTTCGTCCATCTTTGTTAGTAATTGCGACTCGAGTTCGAAATCCGATTGTAAGGAGCAAGGTCGGCCTATCGTACGAGTGAGTACATATAGGGGGATACTTGGGTACCGCGTTGTTAGATAGTCGTAGTGTTGCGAGTTGTTCACTTTATGCGTTAATGAAACGTATCGGTTTATATTTTCGTACCGAAATGATGTCGGTAAAGCTTGCGGACGGTTTTTTTTTATAGAAGAGGGGGCAAACGAGCATGCGGCTCACCGTAAGTGACTACCGCCGCCCATGAACAACCGCAACACAAGGGGAATTGCAGATGCGTTGCCGGCCTTTTAGAAAGGTGTAAGCTCTTTTTTTTTAAGGTTTCTAAGTCGTATCGGTCCGGAAAATTCGCTGGTGGTAATTGATTCCACAAAGAAGTTGTGCGAGGGAGAAAACATCTTCTAAATCGCACAGTGGTGGACCGCCAATCATCCAGATGGTATGGATGGTAACGCGAGTTTTGTCGCGATGTGCGATGGTGAAATTGAGCGGCTGGAATTAGTCCGAACAATTCCTCAGAGCACTTCCCGTGATAGATGCGATAAAATACGCAAAGAGATGCAACATCTCTACGCAGTGCCAGTGTATCGAGCCGATCAGAAAAAACTCGGTCGTCGACCATTCGAACCGCTCTACGCTGGATACGGTCAAGTGGAAGGAGCTGGCACTGGGGTGCTCTGGCCCAAAGATGAGAACAGTATTCCATGTGGGGCCGAACTTGCGCTTTGTAAAGTTGCAAGCGATGTGCCGGCATGAAATACTGTCTCACTCTGCTGAGCACGCCAAGTTTTTAGAGGCCAATTTGGCCGTCCCTTCCAAGTGACCACGAAACTGCACACTATTCGATATGTCGACGCCAAGGATTCCGATACTAGCTGAGGCAGCAAGGTGGAGTGCTTTGAAACTGAGGAGATACGACAAAGGGGTTCTTTTTAGCGGTAAACGCGCAAACTTGTATCTTCTGGGGATTGAACTGGACTAGATTTAGTCGGCCCCAATCCGAGACTTTGTTAAGCAATGACTCGACTTCAGACACAACTACTATTAGGAATAGTGAGGTGCTACTCACGGAGGTCAATGTTCAACTTGCTTCATTAAATATACCTAACGAGTTCATTATTTTACCGAATGCCGTTAATAACGATACTTTGTTAGGTATAGAATTTATAACAAGGGCTTAAATGATTATTGTTTTTGATAAATGGAATTGGCGTACAGTTGATCAGCCCTGGACATTTCACGCCTTGTCATGGGAAACTCGTCGCGAACCTATTGAGTGCGCTGCCGCATTGAACGTGTTGCGAGAGGACGAGGCCACCGCGCTATCAGAATCAGAGAGGTCTAGACTGGCGAATCTAGTAGGTGAGTATTCTGGCGTTTTTGATATTGTCGGAGAACCGACACCATTCGCCGAACACCATATAGATACCGGTGACCACCCGCCGATTGCTGTGCCCCTGTATCTGGTCACGCCTGCGAAGAAGGAAATCATGCGCGCCGAGTTAGACAAGATGCTGGCTGAAGGTGTGATTGAGGAGTGCGAATCCGCCTGGGCCGCGCCATGCGTCCTGGTACCGAATGGCACATATAGGTTTTGTGTAGACTATCGCAAGCTGAATGCGGTTACCAAGACAGACGCATATCCCATGCCACGTCCGAGACCGGCTCAAATACCTAGGTCACGTGATATTCAACGACGGTATATCTCCAGACGAAGATAAGGTGCGTGCTGTCTTAGAGATGAAAGAACCGACCAGCATCCACATAAAATTTACAACTGTAGCGCGCCGATACTTACCTATGTCACGCCTACGCCACGGGAACACGCCACTCGTCCGAACCTTGACTGCCAGTACGAGTACGCTAGCCGACTAGCTCCGAGATATATGTGTATTATTGATTGATCCCGCGCTCGCGCTGCGTTTCGCGAGACGCTGTTTATGTACTTACGTGTCAATAGTTGCCTATATGTATGTTACTATTTAAGTGAATAAACTGTGCATTCGGATTATTTGTAACGTTTCATTTATCATGCGTGACCAGTGAACGTTATACAACTATTATTTAATTAAAATTTTATTTAATTATTTTTATGTCGAGTTTTCTGAAGTAAAGTTATTTCTATACGTTTGAATACTGATTCTGATAACCACAGAACATATATAACCCTAAAGGGGCTGATAATGCACTTTACGGGAACCACAGGGGTTTTGTTACATATTGTATACGTGCATTCCTTTCACACGTTGATGACGTCACTGAATGTTTAGTCTATGTTATTTGTGTTCTTTGTCTATTGTCTATGGCTCGATGGTGAGAAATTTTTGTCAACATGTCGGACAAGTTAGTGTTTTGTGTATTTTTGTTTAAATGTGTATTTTCAATCGCTCCACACGCTTTTTAATTAAGAATTTCCATAGTTTTAAGTTGCTATTAGCTGTATTTCACGTTGTAATTATTTCAGTTACCTTCGTGAGAGAAGATTAATTGATTAATACATAGTGTGCTCACCACAGAAGCTCTGTGATTGTGTTTTGGAATTAACAATTTTTTTTCTGTACAGTGAGGACTTATTAGGCGACGATCTTGGTGATCAAAGTCTCGCGGACTATAACTTGGGCAATGAAGAGGAGGAACAGCTTTTGGCTGATGATTATGACAATAGTGCGTCACAAAATGTCCCCACGTCTGGTGCTTCTAACTATCGCGGCGGAGGTGATACTGCTGCTACCGAATATCCAAATCATAATGTCGAATACACCCAAGTAAGTTTTGCCATTAATTTTCATTATGTATATATATAACTGGTATGGTAATACAATGCGATGAAAAGAACTACTGAAACAATCTGTAGCACTATGGTAGGATGGTATTTATACACGTCAATTTAATCGGTGATTTAACTAAAGCTAAAAGATATAACCATACCTTATAAAAATAGAGAATATTAGCTATGCCTGATTTGCACATTAATTATTCAAGTAATAATAATAATAATATAATATTAAAAGCCTTTAAGCCTGCCACATACATACGGAATTCTGTTTCGAGATTCCGTACGTAGCAAGTTCATATAAAATCTATGACCCATCACACACATACGGTAGTTTTCCGTTCGAAATTTTGTAGGCAAAATGGGATTCTGTATGTGTGACCGACCTGTTGAGATTTCTGTATGTATTTAGCCGGCCTTACTCAGACAAGTATTGGTTGATACATTTTTCCATATTTACTTAAAAACTAATTATGATTCGACATCCCTGTCTGTGTGCCTCCTTGGACAAAGGCCTGGATTCCCTGCTCTAATGCAATGTGTATTATAACCGAAATTAAAATCATATATTATGTAATTTTCTTTTTCTTTAAATGTTCTTGAACAAATTTTAGTGTATCATATGTGTCTTTCATCCATTTTGTCATTTTAAAAAAGTTTTGAAACATGTAACGTTTTTTTAAAGACGAGTATTAAAGACGAGATGAGTATGTACTCTGAATGTGACATTTCAACAAACTTTTGCATTTAATTTAATTGTGTATATCCTCAGGTCAAGTGATTAGCATTATTGATAGATAGAAATTGTAATATTTGCATAGTTTTTAACCTTGTGTATCTATGGGCTTATATGTATCAAGGAAATGATGAATGCTGGTGGCTCATTATCTTGCTTCCCTATCTTTAGCAGTGTATGTTGTAGCCTGTGATGATGATAATGAGGTGTAGAAAACGATCATAATAATTAAAATTCTAACATTTCTTTTAGCAGTCAGCTTCATATCAAGCGGTGGCAGAAAGTGAATGTGTCGTACCCAATATAACAGTTGAAGTACCAAATGCACCATTACCAGAGCATTCCACGTATGCACCATACCCTGAGCCACCAGTGTATGAAGCAGAGCATGCTGTAGTACCACCAGCTATTGTAAGTTTGTTTTAATCCTATAAACTAACATAATAAACTTGAATTGTCTGTCTGTTATGTTGTAATAAGCCTTATATTGATCAGAGAAGATATAATATAATTTTATCTGTGTGTCTGTCCAGGCTAATCCTCAGAGTGAATGAACCAATTGTAATAAAACTTCATGAACAGATAGAGAGAGCATTTCTAGGAGTGATATAGGCTATATTTCATCTGAAAGGGACATTTTTTCGAGATTTCATAAATTGATAAAATAAATGATGAGATTTCATAAATTGATTTTTACATGGTAGAGATTCATGCTGCAGCTATATTAATAGTATAGTTGTAGCACAAATGAAGTCACGGGTGACGACATCTGCATTTTGATTCTTTATTGAGGATAAATGTAGATGTCTATGGGTCACAGAAACCACTTACCATCAGGTGGACTGTGTGCTTGTTTGTCACCCTATCCTATAAAAAAAATCCCCCTCTGAGGCAAAACTATGTGGGAGGCCTATGTTCAGCAATGGACTGTTGATAGGCTGTAATGGATGAATGAATTCAGAAGTTGTCGCTGTAATATAACTACTAGGACATCAGTGTCATTATCACGGGTTGGCTATAGACATCCGGTACCTGATTTTAATTATGTTTTCAGTTTAGGAGCCTTGTTAGGTTTAAGCTTGAACCTTTTACACTGCTTTTGGTTGTTGGAAATGTGTTTTGAATTAATTACGATGAAAATAAATTATACTAAAAATTGCATATAACAAAATGCAAATATCTGTTGAGTACCTGAAATTAATTATGTTTTCAGTTTAGGAGGCTTGTTTCTGAGAAGCTTCAACCTTTTATACAATTTTTCGTTTTTGGATATGTGTTTTCAATTAATCAAAAAATCTACATGCTGTATTAGTATTGTAATTGTACAATTTTTTCAGCCTGCCGCGCCAGCTGAATCTCCGCAGATTGTCCCTTCAGAAGTAACCACATCTCTTGCCAGTAAGTAATTAATTATCTTCATTCTTTTCTTATAATAGTTATATACATGATCAATCTGAAAACCAAAATTATGTTATATCTGAATTTAATGATTAATAAATGAGGGCATTCACGACTTCTGCCACCAGGGAGGCGACACTAGAAAGTGAGGTATAATATTTGACAGATTTCATAGTGTGGAAGTTAATTTGTTCGGAAAATGTAAAAGTTATTGTTTCGTTTTGTACTATTAGCTATATTTTATATTAATAACATTAAAAATAAATAAACCATACTACGGATATTCATAAAAGTAGAAAAATTAAAAAAAAAGTTAAAAATGCGCCAAAAATTAAAAAGCACACCACTGATGCATTGTTTTGTGGATTAATATAATATTCTAGAAACTGATAAACTTTTATTAAAAAACAACTTTCCATTTAAATTACATAGTGTATGTTCAAACTTTACCTCAGTGTCAACTAGCGACATCTGGTGAGCAGAAAATTATTAGTCCTCATTTGCTAGTAATTTAACTGTGTTTTATAGACAACGAGCGATTTAGCACTTTAATTTTGTACCAAATCCTAAAATATTATTTTTTTAGAAATATATTTTTTTAGAAATCTTTATACGGGTTGTGTATTTATTTACCTTAGTTTTTGTTGAAATACGGCTAAGCCTACTATTAGTCCATTTATATATATTTCATTTTCCTATCAAATTTTCGTAGATCTAGATCTAGAGCGAGCGTGACACTCAGCCGCCCAAGTTGCCTCGTTGTATGGGCTGGACTGAAAACCAGTGCTATCACTGAGTCCAGTCCTTTTCGCAGTTTCATGCTGCAGCACAGGGTTTTTTAAAGTGTATTTTTCCAATTAATAATGTTCTTTGATTGTAGTTAATTTACTTTTATTTATTTTTTTGCATATAATTACTTTTGACTTGTGCTGCATGCTTGAACTGAAATAAACACATTTTTTTCTTTGAACTCGGGATGTGCTTTGTGGCATTCCTTCTGGGGTATGTTTATCAAAGGACTCATAATTGACTGTAATGATGAATTTGTTGATGAATTTTCGTTGTAGCCGTAGTAGCTCAGATTGTTAGCGCTCGCTGTAAGCTTCACAGTACTCGAGCAACCCGGGTTCGATCCCCGCCGGCACCAATGAAATTGTTAATTGCAATTTTTAGTGCTGATTTACCACATGCTCTGTGGGGAACGAAAACATCGTGAGGATACCTGCACGTCTGAGAAATAAAAAAAAATATTTCGAAGACATGTGAAGTTCGCCATCACGCATTAGTGCAGCGCGGTGGACAATTTCTTGCCCTAAAACCCTCTCAGAAATGAGAGCCCAGCAGTGGGACGTAAATAGGCTGCAACTTTACTTTAGTTCATTTTTAACCATGTGGTGGTGGTGTAAGAATGACCACTCCTCATATCAACCTGTGGGTGTCGTAAGAGACGACAGAGGGATACAAACCAGGGGGTGAGCAGCGGCGACTTTTTAATAACAACTAAAAACAAATATTGCGGTTACCAACCCGCTAAGCCAAGCGTGGCAACTATGGCAAATATCCCCCCTATGGGCAATATATGAGGGAGGCTTATTAGCAATGGAGTTTTGATAGGCGGTAATGGTAATTGAGTTTTGTATTTTAGATGGTGATCTCGGAGGTCCACGGGAAAGGTTCACAGCGGAGAGGCCTCCGGGTGTTCAAAGAATGCCCCAAGTTAGAGATATCCCCGACAGTTTAGGTAAGGATTATTTGTATATTGTATATTTTATAAATTATTTTTATTTTTACACATCCGTTTTTATGCTTTTTTTATAGGATAACGGGGACAAAACGAGCACACAGTCCACCTGATGGCAAGTGGTTGCTGTGGCCCATAGACATCTACATCTATCCTCGTTTACGCATCAAAATGCAGGGCGTTGTCAGCCGTGAGAACTAAGGTGGAATACCTCTTTTCCAGTAAAAAGGGTCTCTGGTTCTCTTCACTCACCATACGAGACACAGCAGCATTAAGCTGCTATTTTACGTTGGCATTCTGCGAGAGCGTGGTCCTTTCCCGGTCGAGCTGGACCTATTAATATAGCTGCAGCATGGCTCTATCATGTTAAGAAAAGCATGCTTGTATTATATGTCGTAAATATTTGATTGTCTCAGACTATGTACATGAAATTAATTAAAAAAAGGTTTCTGTGAAAAATTGCAGAGATCAACATACATACTTTTTGATTTCTTATATTTACGCGAACACTACACATTGAATAAAACTATTTTTACGGATTTTATCGCGTTTAATTAACTTATTTTATATTCCCGACGTTTCGACAAAGCCACAAGTCCTCGCGAAAGAACATCGATACCTGCCAAGGATGATACGTGAGGCTATTGAAATTAAAAAACATCCTAATTTCAATAGAGAGGGAGGCTGGGTACTACCACCTGCTTGGGATCCTGTAATTCATAAAATTAAAACTAAACCCAAGCTTACCACTGCAAGACTTCAAGACACAGTTAGTTCATTCTGCGTAGATCGGACCAAAATTAATAATTAAAAAACCACAAGTCCTCGCGAAAGAACATCGATTCCTGCCAAGGATGATACGTGAGGCTATTGAAATTAAAAAACATCCTAATTTCAATAGAGAGGGAGGCTGGGTACTACCACCTGCTTGGGATCCTGTAATTCATAAAATTAAAACTAAACCCAAGCATACCACTGCAAGACTTCAAGACACAGTTAGTTCATTCTGCGTAGATCGGACCAAAATTAATAATTAAAAAGCTGAAGGTACTCTGGGTTAACTTTGACATCGGGACGTCAATCACCTCAGTCCCCCGTGACCACGGTTGCTGGAAAGCAACCGAAACGTCGGGAATATAAAATAAGTTAATTAAACGCGATAAAATCCGTAAAAATAGTTTTATTCAATACATACCTTTCTTAGGCACAAAAAATTGAGCTTATGGTTTACAACAGCAACAAAAAGTTATTACCTCGAGGGGCAGCTTGAGAAGGTTATTCTCCAAACACAAAAATGATTCAACCCACAAACTAGCCAAAATAATGATCCAGAGGCTCTTTTTTCAGTTTATTTCGAAGTATGAAAGAGTACAGAAAAATAACAAGTAATCCCAAAATCATCATTAATATTTTTCTTTAGCTATATACATTACATGATATAATAGGGTTTCTGCCTGCATGCAAAAAATGCATTTATCTTTCAAATCTGAATAACTTAATGTTTATGTGGATTGAAACAGATTATATATAACAATACGATGCAGTAATAAATGTTTGATTTCTAGACAAAGTGTACGTCCCCCGAGGAGGCTTCATTGGTCGTGGTCGTAACACGTGGAGAAGCCCAAACTATCGCACTCCGCATCCTTACCGCAGAAATAATACACATCGGGTGAGAGCTATATTTCATTTTATATTTATCTATTTTAAATCTTTATTGCACATAAAGTGTACAATTGGTGGACTTCATTTATTTAGGTATTCTCTACCAGACAAACACGGTGTTACGCAGAGAAACTTAAGTAGGTGCCATTAACACATGAAAATATGTTTACATAAATATGAAACATACATAAAACACACTTATAAATATATATTACTAGAAATAACCTAAATAATATAATCTACACCTGATAGATAGTATACGCAATTTTCAAATAATACATTATATACACATTTTAAGCATACTTATGAACATAATATTTTAAATTTTAAATAGAAAGCATCAAACATACATAAGCAAAAAACATTTTTGAAAGCGATATTTTGACCTGTTTATAATAATAAGTTTTGAACTTTTAAAGCCAAAAAATATACAAAATATTTGTGTGTGTGCATAACGTAAGCAGCATGTTTGCCGTCGTCGTCGGCACCAATTACAATACCGTATAAGTTTATGATATTTATCACTATTATCGACCAGAAGTGAAATTTTAATGAAAAAAGACACACGCAAAATAAAACTTATATTGTAAATCTGTTATAAAATTTAACAAAATAATTTAATATTTTTATATATTAAATTATTTTCTTAAATTTTTTTTTTATCATATCAAAAAAAAAGAATGATTTAAGCTAATATCTAGTTCCTAGTATGTCCGCTCAGTCCGACCGTTCGAAACAAAAGCTCACTGTCCCGGTGACGCGGTCTTTAGCCACGCCCTCTGCTCAGTCAAAATTTTGTAACGTTATAACATTCCTTAAGGCGACACATCGAAAACCGTTGAAGCGGGCTATCGCCGGACTGACCCATGTGAAACGTAATTTCTATAAAAACTTCAAAAACGCCGTCAGAAGTTTCTTGCGTAGCGCTCGCGACTATTAAGACCGCTTAGAAATCGCTTGGAATCCTAAAATATTTTTAAAAAATTATTGATTTTAGTAATCAAAATAATGAGCAAGTAAATTACGAATATTGATGTTATGAATGTATTTGAGTGGTTTCCAAGCATATAGATTAAGTAATTTCGTTGTAATTTCAACTATAGTGATTTTTTAGAGGGGTTTTCGCAAATTATTATGATCGAGTCAAAATTATACAATCGTCTTTTCGAACAAGCAAATTCAAGATAAAGACATGAATTTACCTATATCAAAATTCCAGTTTCGTTAGTCGTGTCATACTCTTATACAATTCGATGAAAGGAGGTGCATTTTTTCGCGGTGTCGCCTTAAGAAGGTGGCCAGTTTATCTAGACTCTAAATTGCTCAGATTCCTATAATTATTTTAAATTATCATTGATGGTCAAAGGGAAGAGCAATTACAGATGTACATGTTTATGGAAAAATACTTATTGATTAAAAATAAATGTGTACCTTTTTTCCCTTAATTTTTCAAAAGTACTATATTTTGGCATCTTTCTGGAAAAATACTATATTTGTTAAAACAAAGATAGCAACCCTAGTCGCCTCTTGCAACATTCACGGGATGACCTACCTACACGGCAAGTCGGCAAAGCTGGAGTATTACATTCTTATAAAGAAAACAGAAGCTATCATACAAAACAGGCAACGTCGCCTACTGATTGCTATTTAGTTATTTTTTGTTATTTTATAAGAAAAATCGTCGGTATTTAAACTAATCTTTGCTTTCATTTTATTTCCAGGGTAATTTTATGTCGAGGCCATCATTCCCACCACCACAAATGCGTTCCAATCTCCAACCAAACCCACAGATCAGACCAAATGTCCCCGAAATTCGTTCGGAAATATTACAACCCCCTCAAATGGGGCCAGAAGTATCCCCAGAAAGACCGATGCTCCCCCAAGATATGCCAAATGCTTACAGACCTCAAGAAAACAGACCATACCCCCAAAATTTCCCAAGATTCCAACAATTCCGGCCGAATTTGGACGAACCCAGACCCTTCGCGCCGAACGTCCGGCCGAATTTTGAACCTAGACCTATGTTCCAATACCAGCCAGGCTATAATCCTAGACCTTTCGCACCACCAATCCGGGAAATAGCTCCGAGCAGTGTCAGCCACATACCCCAAGTGACTATACGCCAGCAGCTCCCAGCAGTGGCCAGTAACCTGCCCAAGATGGATAAGTTTCCTCCAAAGGGCATGAGCAGAGAGCCAGAAGTGCGGATGCTTCCGGTACAGTTGCCACCTAATATCCCTCCAGGTGGCTTAGCGGGGAAGAAAGTCTTGATCAATCCGCACTTTAAAGGAAACTTTCAACCTCCTGTTGAGGGTATGTATTAATTTACTTTATATATTAGAAATATAATCATTGGTGTGTCTGTTAATATTATATCTGAGCAAAGCAACCGATTGAAGTTATATTTTCACTAATATATTTGGTTTGTTGAAACAATGGTTCATTACTATGCTGTACTCAAGTTATTCACAAATTATATATTTGTGACTTATGTCGGTTTTGTGCCAGATTAGAAAATCACGTAATCTGGATCCGATAGGTGCATGTTGGTAAAATACACACATATCTTTAAAATATTCAATATTTCTGAGACAACCAGGTTTCCTCACGATCTTTCTGTGGTCGAGCTACTTATCGGAAATGTCGAAACGTCTGCCAAGTCAGCTAGTAATTTAAATATCATTTTCATCATCATTTACATGATACTGAAGAACCAGTCAAGTTTCTGATGTCGTAAGAATAGACTTGAGAATATGCGTAACGATTCTGGTTATTGAAATATCTTTTAATATATCTTTGTAGTAATAACAAACTGAATTTAAACCCAACCACTTCCAAGGACACTGAATTGCAGCTTTAATTTCTAATTTGCTAATGCTCGGAGAAGGAAAATATCGTGAGGAAACCTGGTTGTCTCAGAAATATTGAATATTTTAAAGATATGTGTATTTTACCAACATGCATTGAGAGATGTTGAAGCGAGAGCGGAGGTCTGTTCCTAGCTGTGGGACCTATTTAATTTTTTTAGAAAATCAGTTTAAAAAAAAATGTTTAAATAAAATACTAGTAATGTTTAATACATTACTAATATTCCCTTTACTTCTGGTAATCTTAAAATGCTTGTTTTTGGAGTGGTTCACGACAGTAGTCGAATGACGGATTCGAACTCATGACCTTTTGAGTTCGCGGTCCACACCCCGCCATCAAGCTACTGTCGGTTAAATTTAATTAATTTAATGAATGTCTTCTTTCACAGCTGCCGGTGTGTATAAGTATTAAATTATGATTCTTGGAAAAGTTCAATTATTTACAATTCAGTTTTTCATAGATACTTTAATTTTAATGCCAAGTGTTGCCAAAAAGAATCTTGTATAAAAAATCAGTGCTGTTTTTTAAAAATAGCATAAAAATTATAAAATTTAGAAGCAATTTAACATTTTTGTAAATATTGCGAATTGTTTCAAAAATTACCAATTGTATACACTCCAGTATTCATTTGTAAACAAACGTCGATTCATTTTTTTAAATTTTCGAAGTGTTTATATTTTATTCCGTGTTTGTATACATTTGAGATATTTTTTCGTGTTTGTATAATGTATACAGTTGAATTAATGTTTTCGTGTTTGTATACATTTTTTTTGTTACTTAGACGTAAACAGTAAATTGTGTAATGTCATAGGGTTGCCAACGTACATACCAACAAGAATACAAAAGACTCCGCCGCTCAGTCCTACACTGGAGAGTAAATTTGGTAATTGAATATTTACTATGCTAATCATTCTAAGCTGTCATTTGTGATTTTAGTAGCTTGAAATGTTAGTTTCATTTTTGTTTTTAATACATTTACCATTTTATGTTTTTGCATTGAGTCCGGGAAGTATTCAAACTGTCGAATTCTAGACTGGTTTAATTGGGTTTTATAATTAAAAAAATCACGTTTTCAGGAGTACTCAGTCAAAATGTCGTAAATTTTGTTAAAATGAGTTCAGACGAAGCAAATGAATCTACATTTTCTAGTTTCTGAAGTGTTTTCGTACAAGAAAGAAAATTACATCGCAACAGTCTATATTGTACCGGCTAACTTTTTCACCATGAAAAAAATATATAGGGTGTAATAGAGGCGAACGAAGTAGAAACCCATGGCATAGATGTTTTTCAAATTTTTGTTTTTTATTGCCAGCCTGCAATGTTTCTAAACAGATCTGGAATAGGCATACGTAAATGCGAGGGTGCTATTTATTTGTCTCTGATAATAGTTTGCTTATTACGTTGTGAGGCCACGCCTACATCCTAATTAAGCCGCATTTCGATTACGAGCTCCAAGAGGTCACACATTGGCGCGCGTTCCATTCCGCGCAAGATGGGTACGGGCGTGCAGCGCGCGCCACTTTGTTCGTTGCAGCGCTCGGACGTGGAGCGGGCCGCTCCATCTGCTGTTTTCTTTTACCGCGCATCAAAATAGTTTAAGTTTTGGCGCGCGCGCCAACTGGGACGTTTGTTTTCATTATTTGTGTGTTCGTTACGTTCCGAGTTATGGATAACCAGAGTTGCCTTAGATTGATAAAATTGTATGGTGCAAAAGCTAATTGTGTGTATGGAATATCTAAAGTAATTTTTATCATAATGAAGAACTATGAAAGCGGCAGCTGCTCGTACACGACCGACGTCCATGTTGACGGTCAAACACTGGAACAGCTGCCGCTTAGTTGATGCACTTGGAACATTTGGAGCGCACTTGTTGGTGCGGTCATTCATGGCGCGCGCGCCAGAAGCGCGTAATCGATACGCGGCTTTAGAGAAACACTTTTTTTGCGTTTGAATTTGGGTGGTAGTAAACTTTTACTAATATAGATGCAGAGCTCATTTCTACCGGTAATAAATTTATGGCGTTGACAGCATTCTTGTTCATTTTGAAAACTTGCCAGATTCATGACTTTTTTTTTCTTCACTTTAGCGTAATATAAATGTATTTATTTAATATATATCATGAAGAATGCACCTGATTTTAACAATATATTAATTTTGAAATTAACTACTTGTATGGTGAAACTTGAGCAACCTTTCCCTATCGTGTAGCTACAACACACTATCTGATAAAAGAACTCTATTTAAAAATATTTTTTGAAAGTGGTTTGTGTCAATAGTAACTACCTATTAAAGCAAGCTGACATTGAAAATTTGTACACCATGTAACTTACGCCTATACACAACGATAATTAAAAAATAAATCGCGTCTCTAGTCCCAAAGATATACACAATATAACATATATTTGATAGCTCCTCGATGTAGTTTAGAAGTCCTTTTGAAATTTTTTGGCGAGATGATAAAAGAGAAAATAAAGAAATATATTTTCATATTGCTTATATTGCAAAAAATAATATAAATATTAAGCAATGAATATTTTCGTTTTCATATTTTATGGTGTGTCTTTTTCCTTTTCATTATCACGTGTTTATTAACTCTCTTTCTTATGTTTGTTCAAGTCGATTTTAGAAATTGATTATACTAACTTTCTGATGATCTAAAGACTTTAAATTTTGAACTTAGCTCAGAATCGGATGACAATGTAAGAATGTGAAAAAAAAAGTGGTCTACTTTGTATAATTTATGTCGCTCTCAAGACTTTGTAATGACTTTCGAGTCTTTGTTGTGCATAATCTTACTATACTTTTGGAATATGTACCCCACTTAATTGAGTGGTTTGCCATAGTCACCATAGTAGACTTCTAGATCTAAATTCTAATTAGTACCTTAAACGACTTAAATAGTAAACTTGACGAAATAGGCAAAAGCAAAAAAATGCGATTGAAGTTTAATTATTAGCATTGTTGCCAAATTGCGAGTCGCTGCTACTTTTGCAATTTGTTATATTGCATCACAAATAATATTTAGTGTGTCTCTCTCTCTCTCTCTCTCTGTGTGTGTGTGTGTGTTTATGTATGTGTACTTTTGTTCTTTCTTTGATGTCATGCTTAAGCTTGTTCTTTGCCTTTTACACATAATTTTGCTTAAGTTTTTATTTGCAAACGTAGTGTATAACTATTTGTGTATTGATTTGTCCTCGTACAGTCTAAATTATACTATATTGCATTACATATAGGGTACAGTTTGCTAAATTTTGATTTCTATATACAGATTTAACAAGTGACAGTGATCGCTTTATCAACTATTTGCTATTATTATTGAAGAAAATTGTGACATCCTATTGATATTGGTTTAGTTTTTAAAATTCGAATTTTGGTCTAATATTTTATTTAATTTTCGGTGTATATTTAATATGTATTTTATTTTTAAATCTGTAGCGTACATATAATTGTTATTTTTTGTATTTAAATCTATAATAAATGTTAAAAGCCTTTTCACACTTGGTTTTTAGGGTTCCGTACCTCAAAAGGAAAAAAACGGAACCCTTATAGGATCACTTTGTTGTCCGTCTGTCTGTCTGTCTGTCTGTCAAGACCCTTTTTCTTAGGAACGCGTGGGGTATCAAGCTGAAATTCAGATTAAATACTCAAGTCTACTGTCCCTTAGAGCTGTGAAAGAATCAAACTGCCAAGCCAATGCAATCAAAAGATACAGCCGTTTATGCCGTAAATTTTCGACATTCGCAAGGGAATCAAAACCTACAGGATACTTCCCGTGAACTCAGAATCTTGAAATTTGGTACGAAGCAACGTTTTATAGCACATATAAAGGAAAAATTGCGAAAAGCATAAATTTTTAGTTACATCATATAATAAAAATATTTTTAATAATTTTGAATTTATATACCTACAGATTTGTTCGGAACTCTCGGTGCGCGAGTCCGACTCGCACTTTGCCGGTTTTTTGAATTGTATACAATCGGAAAATTAATTCACGCAATATTTTTTTATTATAGCACACTGAGTAGTTATTTATTTTAAAGATTTTTAGCTTAGATGATTCCTTTAAGCCATGTCTTCATTTTATTCGGGATCTTCGTTTTTAGTACACTGCTTAATAATATGTTGATACGTCACATTGCGTAGTTTCTGGGAGATTTTGACGGCAACTTGAGCCAGCAAACAGACAGACGAGATGTGAATCTCGAGATAAGGTGTCTTATCTCGAGATTCACATCACCATCGGAGCACTTGTTTCACCGTTTCCACTAATTGTTCACATGGGCAGAAATTTCATACACAAATTCGCACCATTTTAAACCGACTTAAAAAAAAGGAGGTGTGTTACATCAGAACATTTTTCTAGGCGAACTGATTTTGATGACTGTTTTTATTTGAAATTTGGCGCTTCTCACGTGGTCCCATATAAATTTAATTAACATCTGACCAGTAATTTTTGAGTTATCCTTAATAATGCGCATTTAATTGACTTCGACTACATTGATGATGTTATCATTTTATTTATATTGAAGTCGGTGGTACATTTTTTTTTAATTTTACGACTTGTACATATCAAAATCCACTTCAAACCATTATTTAAACAATAATACAGGAGTAGCAATCCGCCGCCGGTCAAGTTCCCGTCAAAACTCCTTAGTAGTTAGTTATCTTGAGAGATGAAGATAGAGTAAAAAATGTTTTGAATATTCATTTTGATTGTAGGTCCCATCAAGGACATCGACGATGCAGCTGAGAGATTCATAGCAGAGCAGAGGAACGCTCTCGCCCGTGCTGCTAGCAGGAAGATAGCGAGGAGATCTCCGCAAAGGTAAAACTTTAAATTTTCTACTGGAAGTTATTATAATAGGCCTGGTTTTGTGAAGTAGTATACATGATAGAGCCACGCTGCAGGTATGTTATAGTATGTAGCACGAGTGGTTCGTCACCACGGGGCAGAACGCTTCTTACGGAACACCAGAAGATCCTTACTGTGAATGAAGCATTCCATCTTAGTCCTCAGGGGTAACATGCATCAGTATTTTGGTTCTTGATTGAAGATAGATGTAGATTTCCTATGGATCACAACATCCACTTACCATCAGGTGGACTGTGTGCTCGTTTGTCACCTTTATTCTATACTAGCTGTGCCCCGCGGTTTCACCCGCGTCATCACGTGTCCGAGGTGCGCCACATGACCTAGTTCAAGCATTTTATAACGGCTAGGGTTTAAGTGTCGTCCGCGCGCCCAGCTAAGTATTGAATTATTTTAATTTTACATTATTTCTTAAACTATGCGTCCAAATAACATGGTATAAAGAACAAAGTTTATCTTCATAAAACTGTCTTGATGATGAAGTAACGTTCGTTCGTAAGGATAAATAGGCCATGCCTAATAATAACGCTCATAAGTCACTTTTAAATTTTCAATATTTTTTTGTCACAAAATACCAAATTATGGCTTATGTATAAGAAATAGACATATGGTATCGCGGCCTTTTTTTTAGAGGGAGTAAAGGTCTATATTTTTCTAGAACATTGTATTTACGTATTCCTAACGATAACACCAGCGTACGCGGATAAATCATTTCGGGAGTGCTTTTTCTTCTGACTTGCTTAACAAATATCCCAATTTAAGGCTAGCTGAGTAATATAGCTTAATGCTAGGTAGCCTATACTATTCCACATGAATCTGGCTATAATATACAAAAAGAATTTTTCAAATCGGACTGGTAGTTCCAGAGATTAGAGCGTTTAAACAAACAAAAAAACAAAAAAAAAACTCTTCCGCTTTATTATATTAGTATAGATAAAAAGCGGTAAGTGTTAACACTTTCACTGTCCGGTTTTCAGACACAATAGTAAGACAATAGCTATGACCTATATGTAGTGCACGGGATAGTGAAAGGGTTAAAGCGAGTCTTAACCTAATGAATGTTACCTATAACTAGCTATCAAAATTAGTAAAATCATACGGTCCACTAACAAATGTTATGTGATGTCAGTTCAAAATGAAACCTCGCATCGTCCGTACGTCTATTTATTACAAAATCCTGCAAAATCAAACTCAACCTTAGCGCTCTAGACACTGTATGACAATAGCAGTATTAAAAAAAATGTGATTTTGTTGTGTGGTAACACACATAAAAAACATACAGTCGAATTGAGTACCGTCTCCTTATTGGAAGTCGACAGAAAAAAGACAAACAATCATACAGTTAGTTCCTATAAAGGTAAAAAAGATAAAACTTAATGTATACACTCCTAATGCATAATATATATATATATATATATATATATATATATATATATATATTATACATGATATATAAAACATATATAGTGAATTGTATTATTCGCACGTTCACTGCTGAACAGAGGTCTCCCGTGGGAAAATTTGAATTTGAAAATTTCATTTAAATAAAACAATTGTTTCAGATACATAGAGAACACTACAATTGAAATAGAGAACGAGTTGGCTAGGCGCAGCGAAGACGAGGAATTACTGAGGCGTCAGGAGGAGTTCATCAACGCCAACCGAGCTGGACTGCGGAGAAGGTAAGTTTTTTTTAAGTTTTATGCATCGATAGGAAATAAATAATTAAATTAATAGAATTGATTTCTATTAATTTAATTATTTATTTCCGTTTTTTTATGTTTGCCGTTTGACGGCTCCATGGCGCAGCGGCTTAGCGTTGAGTTGCCGTGCTGAGGGCCGCCGGTTCGAATACGAGTATGAAAGCAGTTAAACAATTGAGTTTTAGTATTATATTTATTAAAAAGTGAATTATATTTGATATGATGATCAATAAAAACAAAATATAGTGACAATTTATAGCGGACAAAGGTTCTCGAGTGGTAGGCTATCACTCGAGATCGGTACACTACACTAAGTGTGGGGTAGCCCCCCTACTAGATGGAGTGATAACCTGGTTAGACATGCAGGTGGCTCGAGACCGTGATTTCTGACATCCCTTGGGGAGGTCTATTTTCAGCAGTAGACTTGTGATTTGTGATAATGGTGATTACAAAAACTCCCCAACATCTTCAAAATCGTATAAGAAGTTGTAATTTTAAACACATGAATAGTTGGGAAGGTTCTGCACATTGTAGCAAAGTCCACACCTATATTAATGCGCGACTTATTGCTCATGCTACTTGTACCCATAATTTAAAAAAAAATATATTTATTATTACTTTGTGCGTTTTATTTTGAGTCTGTCCCGCCAGCGTGCCTTCAATTATGTAAATGGCCCTATAGAAAATAGAGTTTGTCACTGCCCTAGGCTGCGCGGGGGCAACCGGTTTGTTTTTCTCGCCTAGCCAGTCGATCCGCTACTTTGAATTTAGGTTGTGAATAAACGGCTATTTAATATGTGGTGTGTTCGTTATTCACATCCATACAAGAGAAACGGATTCCATTTTGAAGTACCAATATTAGATATTGAGACTCTACTTGCGTTATTTAGTTGTAAATAGTTTATTATAATTTTTTTAAATACGCCATAATAAGGACAGTCGTCGGTTACGTCGATGATAAGCAAAAATATATTTTTTAATTTTATTTATTATGACAATCCTAAGCCCAGAAAGTAAACAGTAGGCATATAAACTTGAGATACGAAAAGGCGAATTGAAGCACACACGCAGGAGCGCACGTAAGAGTAGCTGTTGCCCATAAATCACATTCAATTTGGGATATTTTCAAATAAAAGTTGTCTAGTTCTTGAAAATGCTTCGCAAATCTGGAATCCTAACTATAATACATATATTTCACGGAATGAAAGTATCTTGCGTAAGTTCATACAATATCTTTGCTATCGTACCCACACAAACTACTATCCTTATGCAAGCAGCATCATCTGTTACCTCTGATAAAGCGGCGTGAGATTGCTGACATTGTATTTTTATTAAAAATCTATTCTGGCAGCAGTGGCGAAGCTAGGGCTCCAAACTAGGGCAAACCCAAAATATATTTTTGTTGTTTTAGCAGTTTTGTAAAAATACACCAATCTTAATCTGTCTCTACCCTTCATTTTCATATTCAGTGCTGTCGAGGACGTGTTTAACAAAGCACACAGAACGCATACTACTGCTAGATAGATTGTACGACTATATGCATACCTTCAGTGGCTTTGAAAAAAGCCGTTTGAGTTTTTTTTATTATAGAATATGGGTGACAAACGAGAACACAGTCCACCTGATGGTAAGTGGTTGCTGTGGCCCATAGACATCTACATCTATCTTCGATTACGAATCAAAATGCAGATGCGTTGTCACCCGTGAGGACTAAGATGGAATGCCTCTTGTCCAGTAAAATGGGTCTCCGGTTCTCTACACTCACCATACGAAACACAGCAGCGTTAAGCTGCTATTTTACGCTGGTATTCTGTGAGAGCGTGGTCCTTCCCCGGTCGAGCCGACCCATTCGTGCTACAACCATAATATAGCTGCAGCATGGCTCTACCACGTTAAAAACGTACTTGAGCGAAAGAAAAAGATATTTACATACAATACAATACATGAACAAAAGGAAAGCATGAACAAAGTACATTGTACAAAATTAAAAAGAAACAAATTATACTCTAAATCGAATCGTCTCTCTTTCTTAAAGAAAGATTTGATTACGTCTGCGTGAAATGTTGGTGAACGTTTTAATTGTACCAATAACTGTGTATGTGGATATTTAACAAAGTTTAAAGATTTTACCTTTTCCTCGCCGATTAGCACTTTAACACACTTCAGTTCATCACAAGGAACACTATTATCCTCCATTTCCACTAAAAATCGTTAAAAAAGCATAAATTTATATTAATTCCATTATTATTAATTCCATAGATTCGCTCAACTAAACACACAGAGTAAACATTGAAATGTGTAGTGAAGTTGCACCGCGCTCGACTAACTTCATATCTAAAGCCAGGCTTATCGCTCCATACTAATTCCTATATAAACAATAGTAGTTATTTCATTATAGAACATTTTGCCATAGGTTTTAACAGTGGTAGAGCCACGCGGCAGCTTTTGCTGTCGCACGGATGGGCCATCTCGAACCGGGGTGGTACCACAACCTCACAGAAAACCAGCGTGAAGTAGAGGTTTACCTCTGCGTTTCGCTTGGTGAGTGCAGGTGGCCGGAGGCCCTTTTTACTGGAAATGAGGCATTCCATCTTAGTCCTCACGGGTGACAACGCATCTAACTTTTTGATTTGTAATAGAGGATAGATGTAGATGTCTATGGGCCGCAGCAACCACCTACCATCAGGTGGACTGTGTGCTCGTTTGTCACCCTAATCCTATTAAAAAAAAAGGTTAGAAAGGTAGCGATCGTCTTCTCGAAAGCCCGGTAAAAAGCCCACGCGTCCGGGAGAGAAAGCCCGGTAAAAAGCCCACGCGTCCGGGAGAGACGACTAATCGCTCAACTCAACTCCATTTTTATGACAGCAGTATCGTGCAGTAATGCAATCTGCCAAGTATTGACGTTACATAATAAGGGTACGAGATCATGACGTGCGTAGAATAGAGGAGCGTGCGGGAAATTTGAAATAATTTGAAACAGTTTACGAGTTGATATTATTAATTGAGCAGTTTAGTAGGGCATGCCGGGCTTCTATGGAGACTTCGCTACCGTCTGGTAGTGTTTACTGTTCTGATTTGCTATCACAAATATCACTGAGAATGCCTACAGTGAACCTTATAACGAATGTATTGCTCTACTTACCAATTTCATGTATTAATTATGGAAGAAATGCTTTCATATGGCGGTCTAGTAATAATTTATGCAAAAAATACGATTTTGATTTGTTTAATACTAGTATCAGCAAGGTGGACGCTAAGTCTACGAGTTTTTTGTCTTAATTAATAAGAATATATTATGTAGTGCGTATAGTCCTGATTTTCTTTTCTTTTTGGCTGTTATTATCCGATTGACTTATAAAATTTATGCATTACTTACATATATGTTACAAATGGAGTCTAATTTAAATGTACAACATATTTAAATGAGATTCCATTTGTAATGCTCGTATTTGTGCTATGTCCTTTAAACGACGAAATATTGTATTTCTATTAGTGAGAACCAGTTATTGGTTCTTGTAATAGAACATGTTATTTACTTAAGATTTGTAAGCTGTGGGTTTTTCATAACATAAAAAATAACTAAAATTTGTTTTTACTCTTCTAAGCCAGGGTTTGACTGCTATCTCACCTGATGGGAAATAGTGAGATGTAGTAGGTGAAGTGCTTTGACGAGACCGTTCTCTCAGAAAATCCTGCATCCAGTCAATCAAACCAGGGAATAAGCCTTACGCTGGAAGTTTACCCAAAAGGCTAACATGCCAAAGGCTCTGTCAAAGATCTTCGTGACATCAAGTGAAATAGCAAGTACTTCCCTTGATGTTTCGAAGGCCTTTGGCGGAGTTGAACGCTGGCCGAGCGTCTGGTGGTGCGATGGTGATAGAGAGAAGAAGGAATTAAGAATGAATGAATGAATGACGTTATATTCAGGATGCGGTCGGCCAGCCCGGCGCGCCGCTCGCCGTCGCCGCGCCGCAGCCCGCCGCCGCGCCGCGCGCGCCCCAGCCCGCCCGACGAGGTGCGTGCCGCAGCGCTGCCGCCAACATGCCAACATGCCCACACTACCGCCAACGTCACTACGCACACACGCATCAACATACCTACCAACACTCACCAAAATACACACCAACACACCTACTTTATTGTCCAGTAATACACGCACTAACACACCTACCAACATACTTACCATCATACGTTCCAAGATACGTTCCTACAACCACCAACAACCACCCACATACCGACCAACACAACCATCAACATATTTATTCACACACACATCAACATACCAAAATGCCCACCAACACACGTACCTTAATATCCAGAAACACACGCACTAACACAACTACCAACATACTTACCAACACACGTTCCAAGAACCACCAATACAACTACCAACAACCACCCACATACCGACCAACATACTTACCAACCACCAACATACGCTTTTTAATGGGGAAGATTTGTCGGTGATAGAACTCCTTTTCTGCCTAGGAATCCGTCTAGTGTGTAGATAAAGAAAGAAAGAAAGAACTATTTATTTGATATACACATTTCACAAACATTTAGAAGAATACAATAACAAGGGGTAAAAGTATGCATGCACCAGTCTAAGACCTGTACTTACGCATTAACAATTGAAAAGTACATTCACATTAATTAATAATGAAACAAAAACATAATTTTAAATTAAAATCAAATAGGTCTCCAACTTACAGTTTGCCATTGTTGGTATTTAGACGGACTTACAGAAGACACGCAGAAAACGAGTCCTACAACCTAAAAATCTTTTTTTTTAAATAACACGATTCCTGTTTTTAGGAAAGTGAATACAGAAGGCGTTTGAGAGAGCAGGAAAGCTTGCGGGAGAGAGTTCTGCGAGCGAAGGAAGTTAGACGCAGGAAGAACGCGGTCGCCTTACAGAAACAACTACAGGAAAGGTGAGATAGAAAGAAATCATAACAAAGACTATTTTTATTTCTTTATCCGTCTAGAAGTAAATTTGCGAAGCAGTGGAAAATAAACCCTAATGCAGTGCAAACTGTCTGGTGCTTCAATTACAGCGTGTACTATTTGTAGCTGGCTGTTTCTAAAAAGAGCCAGTGTACACGCCCCTAGCTGCCCCAACAAAGTTAGACTGGACTAGGGCCCATCAGTAGTCCAATCGACGGGCAGCAGAGACGGGGCCCAACGGCCTATGGAGACTTATTATTCTACACAATAGATATAAGGCTAGGTAATTAATAAGAACGTACCTGGTTCCGAAGCTAAGACTGACCCCCAGGCTCAGTCAGGCGGTAGGTGTAGTGTATGTAAGTGGTGTTTAGTAGTGTTTATATATGTGACCTGACGGCCCAATTTAATCGGACAGAAAATCCACCGGGGCTGATGTTCTCCCAATGCGCGCTCCCTCCAGTCGTGGATCACCCATGGAAAATTTCTGCCTTCATTTCACTATTTCAGTTTATCAACTTTATTGTACACTATTTAATACATCAACTTTATTATTGTACATATAATTAACTTCAAAGTCAACCAATTCAACGTTCATCGAAATCAAACACGTGACACACGGCACAACTAATGAACGGTGGATCTAAGTTCACTTCCGTTTTCACTCAGCATACAATTATTTCTAGAACCGAACGCGACCTTCTCTAGGGTCACAAAGTTCCGCGCTCCCCACAACAACCAAGATTCTTTCGTACGATATTAACAGGCCACTCACGCAAATCAAAGATTGCAACTGCACTTCAAAACGCTATCACTATACAAATTGACGTAAATTACTTGCAACGAAGTTACTTTAATCACTCAAATTCAATATAAGCCTCTTGTCACGAAACACAAATAGACACTCAATTCGAGGCGGTATTAAAGATACCCAAATCTTCGATAGTAATTAGGCGCACCATACTCAAATTCGGACGTTGATCGCAATCAATGTTAACTTCCAAAACAATTAACCGACCCGGCGTCCGCGCAGAAAATCTATTTTCCTAGACTCAACAAACTCCTCGTCGTTGCATAAATTTGCTAACAAAACCGACACTATATAGAGGTTATACGGAACGCGACCACGTCTTTCTAGTTACTGCGCTGCATTAACACTTCCAACGCGCCCTGCTCGCAACCAACTGGATCTCGCGGGAACGTCAACCGGTAGGAAATCACCGCGCTGAGCGTCCCCTGGCGTCAATTCTTGAAATTAGCGTTTGGCGCGAACAGTCATTTTAGCCAGTAAGTTTTTAAAATTTTACTAGGAAATAACGAAGGAAATAAAAACAACGGCTCTGTGGCGCAGTGGCTTAGCAATGAGTTGCTGCGCTGGGGGCCGCGGGTTCGAATCCCGCGCGGAAAAAGTATTTGTATGGCCTACATATAATTGTTCCGGGTCTGGATGTTTGTCCTTGTGCAATTTTATACGTTGTAGAGCCATGCTGCAGCTATATTAGTAGTATAGTAGTAGCACGAATGGGTCTGCTCGACCGGGGAAGGACCACGCTCTCATAGAATACCAGCGTAAAATAGCAGCTTAACGCTGCTGTTTTTCGTATGGTGAGTGTAGAGAACCGGAGACCCTTTTTACTGGAAAAGAGGCATTCCATCTTAGTCCTAAAGGGTGAGAACACATCTGCATTTTGACTCCCTATTGAGGATAGATGTTAATGTCTATGGGCTGCAGCATACACTTACCATCAGGCGGACTGTGTGCTCGTTTGTTGTCCTTAAACTATAAAAAAAATGTATTCGAGCAGTCTATATGATATTTTTTTAATTTCTGCCTTTTACATCTAGACCGAATTTCGGCCATCGTGGCGTGTCTTAACGAAAACTATCCATCTGCGCAAGATAGGATTATAGTGCTCGAGTATGGGATCACTGTTTCCTTAAATTATGTGACTAATTTGATTCCCATTAGCCATTACAGAATTACTAAAATAACATTTTTGTTTCAGGGATCGTGAAAAGCAAGACAAAGATAGAGAGGTGCCGAAACCTGAGAACCCGAAGCCAGTCGAGACCAACACGGACAATAAACCAACAAGTACACAGCCGGACAAGCCGGACACTACCAGGAAGTCACCGGAGAAAACGGAAACTGTGGAGAAAGTGGAGAAGACTAGAGAAAGATCTCCAATTAAGGCAGCGAAGGATGATGCAGAAGTTAATTCTACTTGTGGTATGTTTTTTTTTTATAGAATTAAGCTGACACATTAAGCACGCAGTCCACCTGATGGTAAGTGGACCCTTTTAACTGGAAACGAGGCATTCCATCTTAGTCCTCACGCATCTGCATTTATCTATCATTTCATCTAGATTCGCAAACGAGGATAAATGTAGATGTCTATGGGCCACAGCAGCCACTTACCATCAGGTGGACTGTGTGCTTGTTTGTCACCTTATACTATAAAAAAAGTGGATGCTGTAGCCCATAGACATCTATATTTACCCTCGACAAAATGCAGATGTGTTGTCACCCCTGAAGACTATGATGGAATGTATTGCTAGCAGTAAAAAGGGTGCTAGTGCTAGATACAGGCCCTCAGTTCAAGGTAAAATTTGTGCTTAAACATAAATTACAGGTTTTCTAATCTGTTTGAGGTATGATTGTCTCTGTATCTCTCACACTACATCCAACCTATAGCGAGAAGTTTCGTGGCTAGTACCTATAAAAATATGTAGATGGCGTTTAAATAAAATAAAGAAATACTTCAAACTGTATAATACTTTATTTTATTGAGCGTTTATTACCATCCTTACACTGTTATCATCAGAAGTCCATTGCTGAACATAGGTCTCCCTATATACGAGTATATCATATTTGGGGCCGTTCAAGTAATACGTAAACACACTTTCTATGATTTTAGCAACCACCAAATGGTAAGAAGTAAGAGTTTTTTTACAACACATGAGTGCTAGAGTAGAATAAATTAAATTCTCGCAGTCATTTATTTATTTTTAGTAAGAAACTAGCAATTCGGCCCGGCTTCGCACGGGTAATTTCTGGATCTCGACAATAGCGCCACCTACCGGGTGCAATTGTGAATCGTTTAAACCATCCAGGGAATCGCTCAAACACACACACAAAAAAAAATCAAAATCAGTCGAGACGTTTTGGAGTTTTAGCGAGACTAACGGACAGCAATTGATTTTTATATATTATATAAGAAATATGAAAAGAAATTCGGCATATAATTATAACATAATAATAATACTTGCTTATCAATACTATCGCTACTATATAATATTTTCGTCTACTCTATAATATTTTCCTTAGAATTATTTGGACCCCTAATCATAATTCTCGTTACAGTCCGGTATACTGCTAATCATAGGCCACTTCCAAGGAATACCTCAAAGCACAGTCTGATCATTGTCTTCCTGTATCTTTTACCAGGTTGTCACTATATCTAGTAGAGGGCCGTCCTGCACTTACTTACTTTACCGATACTGAGTTGCCACACGATAACCTTTCTCCCCCATCAGTTATCAGTTCTTTGAGCATTTAGAAACTTAAAATAGTAATAGTATAAAACAAAGTCGCTTCCTGAAGTCTGTACGCTTAGATCTTTTAAACTACGCAACGAATTTTGATATGATTTTCATCAATAGAGAGATATTATAATAATTATAATATAATTCTTCTGTCCGTGTGTATGTGACTGAACTCTTCCTAGACGGCTGGACCAATTTTGATGAAATTTCGTGTGGTGATTAAGAGAATGGTTTAGATTCACAATTGGACCTGGTAGGTGGCGATCTTGTCGAGATTCAGAAATCAACCGCGCGAAGCCGGGGCGGAACGCTAGTAATAGAATACAACAAAATGATACATTATAAACCAGATGGTTATTTGTCTGTATTGCTTCTATCTGTTGAGGTATTATTTTTCCACGTGTATTTTTGACCATGTGTGTTTTTTTTTTAGAAAACCTTACACCACCAAGAGAGAAAATGCCTCAAAAAGAGAAGATTATTTCACCGGAGAGAGATCTGACTCCACCGCTGCCTGACACTGTGAAGCGACAGGACACGAGGATGGACAGCGACGATGAGCTGGACCTCATTCTGGATGACATTGATGACATTCTCTCCGATGATGAGGATAGCGGACGATTCAAGGAAAAGCCCAAAACGTGAGTACTTAGTCCGGCATGTGCAAAAGTAGGGTATTATTTTTATTTATCTATTTATTTTACCTTGATAACCTCGTTGGTCTGGTTCAAAACAAAATTCAATTGATCCAACATCAGTTGTAGTTTTTGCTGTCAAAAAATTTTCAGTGGCAGCCCAGACTCAGGAAGTTGATGGTGTCTCATCCTCGTGCCTCGGAAAGTACGTAAAACCGTTGGTCCTACGTCTGATCTCTCCGGTCGCGTCGGTTTACCGTCCCATCGGCCTATGAGAGTGAGGGAATAGAAAGTGCACTTGTGCTTGCACATACACTAGAGCACTATAATCCTGTCCTGCACAGATGGCTTGTCTCTGTTGAGACTGGCTACCGTGACCGAAATTCGGTCTGGAGTACATTAAATACCCTATTTAAAAAAAATCCTTGCAAAGTTTCTTTAGAACAGTGTTGCATAAACTATGTTGAGACTTGTTTGTGCTCCCAATGTCGGACGTACAAGTATATTTGTACACGCCCCTAGCTGCCCCCACAAAGGTTGAAGGGACTAGGGCCTATGAGTAATCCCATTGACGGGCAGCGGGACGGGGCCACGTGGCCACATGGAATTTCCTTTCACAATAAACTATATGGGAGAAAGCTAGAAACACTTAGTACCATACCATACCATAGTGCCATTATCCGAAGCTAACTTCGCACCAAGGCTTGGGCAGGCCGTGAGTGTGTGTAATAGTGGATGGCGAGTAGTGTACAGTGAGGTGTAAATGTCTGCGACCTAAGCAAGCTTAGGCGACCAGCAGCGGCCGAGTTCCAGGCTGCCCCAAAATGCTGCATCGCTCCAGCAGGCTTCATCGCTGGACCATTTCTTTCTTCATTGTCACTAATTCAGTCTCTCAGCTTCATTGTACATTTAACTAACTTAAATTCGCCTAATTCCACATTCATCGTAGAATCGAACACGTGATACCCGACAGATTCAGCGTTAAACACAACTAAGTTCCTTCATTCGACACCAGAACAACACGTCGCGCAAATTCAAAATACGCCTCGTTGACCACGCGACTTAATCTAACTAGCCAACCAAAACACAAAAAGGGCACTAAACGCGACGACACAGTTATAATGATATCTTGACAATTAACCGGGAGAAGCTCTCAAACAAGGAATGCGCGGCTCGAATCCTAGACCGTATATCTACTAGACGCGCGTACACTATTCCGCACTCTCGCACGAGTTAAATATCGCACAATTCACATATCTACGTGACGAAGAAGCACGTAATTCATCTAGCTATCTAGATCCACCACGGGCCGTGAATTTAGGTAAGAGGACCTGACGGTCTCCCCGCCTCGTGTCTGGCGGGGCACCGACCTTTAGCCCACGCTTCGAGCGACTGACCGCCACCCAGCCGCGCACGGTCGCCCCACCTCGGTGCTTATCTCACCTACATACCATCGGGTGAGGCGCCAGCTCGAACGCAATTGGGTGACGTTCAAACATGACCAAATTTGGGCATAAACAATATTATTATGTTGTTATATTATTAGTATAATTATTTTTAAATAATTTTATATAATTCTGTTTCCAGCGTGGAGCCTCCAAAGCCGAAACTTCAAGTGGATCTTCGTAGCAAGCTCCCTCCAAAATCGACAGAGACCAAGGCACCCAGACAGAAGATTGTCTTCAATGAACAGAAGGACGATAAGAAAAAGAAAGGTTCGTACTATAATAGATATTTGAAATCGTCCAATCTTGTCAGTGTCCAACAAAGGTGGTACTCTGCACCTTCTCGGTGTTCAATAGAATTATATTTTTTTTTTATAGGATAGGGTGACAAACGAGCACACAGTCCACCTGATGGTAAGGGGTTGCTGTGGCCCATAGACATCTACATCTATCCTCGTTTGCGAATCAAAATGCAGATGCGTTGTCACCCGTGGGGACTAAGATGGAATGCCTCTTTTCCAATAAAAAGGATCTCCGGTTCTCTACACTCACCATACAAAACACAACAGCGTTAAGCTGCTATTTTATGGTGGTGTTCTATAAGAGCGTGGTCGAGCCGACCTATTCGTGCTATAACTATAACATACTTGCAATGTGTTCTACCACATGTAAAATAATATGTCCATAAGTTTTAAAACACAGTTGTTACCAAGTTATTGTTTTTATTTAAATAATTTTGAGAGTAATTTCTTACGATATTTAAATTCCTTTTGCAGAAAAGTCTCCAATACGCAGAACCGTGGTGACCAGTTCAACCAAGGTTGAGGAGAGCAGGGACAAGAAGTCCACTAAGGTGTGTTGTGATTATCTATATCTATACATCTATACAAATAAATAAAATCGAAGTGTCTGTTTGTAATGTCGAAATAACAGCTTTTTACTATATGCTTATGAAAGTATATACGGTACTTATAACGAAAACACAATTTTCAAAATTTTTGTTTACTGTCGGTCTGGCTGTCTGCCTGTTTGTTCCGGCTAATCTCCGAAACGGCTGGACCGATTTCGACGGGACTTTCACTGGCAGATAGCTGATGTTCTAAGGAGTAACTTAGGCTACTTATATTTGAGAAAAAGAATTAGGGTTCTGAGCAATATAATTAAAACCCTAAATTACACGCGGGCGAAGTCGTGGGGAACAGCTAGTTCATATATAAGCGTGAGTAGGTTAATTATTTAACCGTCTAGTGGCGGTGTAAGAATATGCACTACCCCATAATGTTCCGCGGATGTCGAGAGGTGACAGACGGAACAAATCAGGAGATGGACAGCAGCCCTTTCTTAATAATAACTTTAAAAAAATCTGCGGTGTCCAACCCGCCTGCCAAGTGTGGCAACAAGAGAGTCCATACCCTCTTATGAGACATTCTATGGGTAGGTCTATATTTTTGGGTGAACTTTTATAGGCTATGAATGAAGAAAGGCACTATGCGCTTACGAATGAATCACTAAACGGATGAACCAAATAGCTTGAAGAATTGACAACCGATAGGGAAGAAAGATTATTGGGTGGCAGCCTCGTACTGGTAAGCGAATTGTAGGAACGGCCCTACTAGATGGAGTGACGTCGTGGGCATTATTACAGTTTAAAAAAGTTTCACTTCATATAAATATAAAACTTAAATTGTCGCTTACAGTCTGAAAAATCAAAAGGGGAAGAGAAACCAAAATCGCAAAACTTCACCAACCGTCGCGTTATCCTGCAACGCAAGAGCGTGACGGCGCCGGCGCCGGCGGCCGGCATCTTTAGCCGTGCGGTCCGGACCGCCATCGGACCGGACCGGACCGCGCTGCTCGCCAAGCGGTCCGACGAGCCGGAGGTCGAGTACGCCTCGGACTCGGACGACGACGCGCCGACCAGGCCGGCTGCGGCCGCGGGCAAGCTGGCCCACGTGGACAACCTGCCCCACGGCATCACCGACACCAGGCTCCGCACCCTGGCCGGTGATCACGTGCAGGTAATCTGTCTGCTAGGATACTGATGTACATTACTGGTTTGATGTATCGAAAGGGAAACTAGGCCACTAGGACCGATCATGATGACATATTTTGTTTATGAGTATATCGATGGGTGGATTCACAATAGGACCCGATAGATGACGCTTTTGTCGAGATCCAGAAATCACCCGTGCGAAACCGGGACGGATCTCTAGTTTATTATAATAAATGAATAACATTCTCCATTCATTAATTTAATGAAATATTGTAAAGTTAACTTAACTTAATGATTTTAATATGAACTTTAATTGTACATACATATTAATTAGATTAACAAGGTCGCCCAGTGGTCGAAATGCGATCGTAATTCATAAAATTTTTAAGTTTGTACATTAAGGGGGATGCTCCGATAACCCCGCCATACACTTTTGTTTTGACATGTACGTTAAACACAGACACTATTTGTTTAAAACTAATAATTTTATCACTTTTCTATACTGAAATGTGTCTGCGATTAACCTTATTAAAAATAACTTAAGTATTTATTAAGAAAAACAATAGTGAAATCTAGGAAAATGTTGACACTTTAGTAGTGTGAGTGAATTTTGACAACTTGACAAGCAAAAGCGCCAAAAACATAGTTTAAACATTGGCACGCTAGATGGCGTGCAGACGATATTGTTGTGCAACAAACACCATTATTCGTAGGTAGATATTATGCAACGATACCGTACTTCCTAACCTTGAACTAGATGCACTACATTGAAAGAAGAAAAAGCGGTGCCAAACTTCGTTCTCTTGTTTGACTGTAATAAAATTTAAACATCCTAAATTAATTCTCGATTGTCAAGGGATAGGATTTGCGCGCGGAATTTCTTGCGATTTATAATATATTTTTGTTTGATTTTAATTGATTCAATTTGCAATATTTCTAGTATGTATTTAATTCCAATATAATACAGTATATTCTAATTTATTGTAGGTATAGTAATTAATTATTCAAAATACGCAATTTTGTATTCGGTGGTATTAGAAGCGCAAGTTGGCCCGTGATTTCAAATCTCGTTACAATACTAATTAGTAATTACCTATGTCATGCGTGTCGGTGTTGAGTACTACAAAGGCAGTGTTTTGTCTGAATATTTTTTTCAACAATAAATAAAATTATAAATCGGTAAGCCACCAAAGTAGTCACAAAATTAATTTTACAAACATTTGCAAAATATAGTTTTGCGGGGTTACGTAAAAATACCTATTACGTATTTTGCAAACAGTTTCAGACAGCCACATATTATTATTAGTTTGTTTTATTTTGTTGTATTACCAAGCTCAAGGTCGCGTCGTATTGTTTGTTACGGTCCTGGATTTTTTTAGTTGATTTGTCCTTGGATAACAGATGAAAATAATGGTTATGTATTTAATATTAATTTTATTTTATTGTGGTTATTAGATTAACAATTATTTATCAATAAAATAATTATAAATATTAAACTTTATAAAAATAGAATAGAAATAAATGTAAGTATATTATTTAAAAATTAGTAAACCTGTATACGAGCCGTAGTAGCTCAGATGGTTAGCGCTCACTGCAAATTTCATACTACCCGAGCAACCCGAGTTCGAGCCCAGCCAGCACCGATGAATTTGTTAATTGCACCACGGCGTACATTTTCTTTTCTTGCCCTAATACTAATCGAATAGAAAAATAATCAACAAGTCAAATGATTTTGTTTTAATTGTATTTTTGTAGTAGTTTGTTTAGAATCTACATTGTCGTTGTATATTTCTTTTTATTTTGTATTTACTATAAAATCAAAGAGTGAAATAATACTTCATTATGTAGGTGTAACCACCTGCTCAATTCAATAAGCTGTGCTGTTCAGATTTTTGTTTTACTAAAAGCTTTCGTAGTTGTGTGTGCTTTAAAATTAGGAAATATTTTTTCACCTTCCTCGTAATTATCGCATACTAAATCGTGTTTTAGATTTGTCGTTATCTCTTGTTTATGAATAGTTTGTCAAAAATTGTCAAATTTGCGTAATAATTGTTTATGATGCAAATCATCTGTATTATTAGTTTTGAGTGAATAGGCATGTATCAGGCGTGTTACTTCAAATATTTGTTTTGATCATTAATTTTAATAGTGTAAGGTTATGGCCATATAGAAAGAATGAATGAGGAAAGAGTGACAAAGCAAATTTATGTTGCAGAGGTTAACGGCATAGTCGGGAAGGGTCGCCCTAGGCGAAAGTTTATCGACCAAATTGGCGATATATTAAAAATGGGCCATATCAAGAGTACCTTTAACCGACGAGCGTGTATGCGTAGGTATATGGATGTGGAGGAAGCGAGAGAGGTGTGTCAGGATCGTGCCAAATGGAAGTCCATAATCTCTGCCTACCCCTCTGGGTGACAAGCATGAGTGTTTATGTTTATTATGTTTTATGTGTAAGGTTATAAAATAAAACTGCGTTTTATTGTTCTTAGTGTTGACATAATTTATTTTCCAAGATTATTATTGAATTAATTAGTTTATTTACACCTACAAATATAAGTTAAAAAAGTTAAAGTTACAGCCTATATACACGTCTCACTGCTGGACACAGGCCTCCTCTCATTTCTAAGAGGGTTTTAGGGCAAGGATAGGTCCGCCGCGCTGCCCCAATGCGTGTTGGCGAACTTCACTTGTCTTCGAAATATATATATATTTTTTCTTATTTGTCAGACATGCAGGTTTCCTTACGATGTTTTTCTTCACTGCCGAGCACGTGGTAAATCAGCACTTAAGGCGCAGGTTGAGCAAAATGTCGCGCTAGTCGTTATTTGGGCGGTTTTTAGAAGCTATCTACTTTTTATTTAAAAGATATATCAACAAATAAAAAACACATTATATTTCTACATAATCTTGATTCCATAAAAGCTATATCCAATTTTTTTTTAAAGGAATAAATATTAATATAATCTCCTTACAACGAAACCACATAAATGTGAAATTATTATTGATAACATGCATCTCCTCGTAAAGTAAGTATTATTTTATTTTGCGATTTACACCAATGGATAGGCAATTTATTAATGAACATTTCTATAGTAAATTTTTTTTCAAAAGACCAATATTTGATTTTATTAAGAAATTATTTTAAAATCTGGGCATATTTACTGCTCACGGGCTTGCTGAAGTCAGTGAGCGCTGAGCTCTTCGACGTGAAGCCCGTGTCGTTAGAGCGTCGACCAACGCATACGCCACGTCATATGAGTCGATAATATTATTACTTATTAGGTTATTTATAGGTAGTATTATTTGTTTGTTTTGAGTATAATTTTTCGTATTAGTTATACATATATTTGTTGTGCTTTTTACTGCGCGATGAAGCTTTTTGCGTGTATTTTCTTTGAAGTAAATGCAAATAAAAAAATGAAGCACCATTAGCATGTAAGGTTCGAATCCATAATTAAAATTTCGACAAATATTATAATTTACACTATAAAAGGCTAATTCAATATTATCACCCAACCACAATATCTTATTAGGTATAGTACTGCCTCGTTGGTCTAGTGGTTGTAGTAGTGCGACTGCTGATCATGGGGTCCCGGGTTCGAATCCTGGGTCGGGCCAAAAAGTCATTTATGAGTTTATCATTTATGTTCTAAGTTATAATTAGTATTACTAAGTTATAGTTTTTTGCTAAAATATAGTATATTATTTATTGCTTGTTTTTTCTTCTTTTTAAAAAAATTATTGAGTACATAAGGTGTTCTATACTTATAATTCGGTAAAAAGTATCTAAGTGGGTACTAATATACCTACTTTTTACTATAAACTAAAAATTTTTAAAACTAAATTTAACTAAAAAGACTAAACTGACCATTTATTTTTTAACTCATAACAGGACATGGGTTTATTTATACTCTAAAAACTATAACTTTATACAATTAGTGTTCACTATAAAATTATATTCGGTATAGACGGTAATTATTAAATGCAACATATTTTTTTAATTATTAATTACATTTGTCAGTGGATTAAATTTGCTTTAATAAAGTTGGTGATGATTTTAAATAAGAATAAAATTCTGCTCAAGTTTTTTATTGTTATCTTTGTTAACAACATCGCCTTTAGAACTCTGGAACCGTAAGTGTTTCTTTCAGACGTCCACAATTTATGCAAAATAAAAAAATACTCTTTCTACCGGAGCATTCGTACCAGGTAGACAAAATATATTCGATTAAAAAAAACTATGTTGAAGATTGTTGACTTTGAATACTTCCATCCAACGAGTTACGGGACAATTTTGTGTCCCGGAGCTTTGTTTGGGGACAATGGGACAGGAGACCGAGAAAAGGGACAGTCCCGTTCAAAACGGGACGTATGGTCACTTTAGCTATAACCCGGCGACCATGAAGCAAATACAAAGTTAGTTTTTGTATTAGCTTCATGGTGGCGCAGTGGCTTAGCAATCAGTTGTTGCGCTGGGGGCCGCGGGTTCGAATCCCGCATGGAACAAGTATTTGTATGGCCTACAAATAATTGTTCCGGGTCTGGATGTTTGTCTTTGTGCAATTTATGTTTGTAAACTGCCTCCACGACACAGGAGAAAATCCTAGTGTGGGGGTAACGTTTTTTTACAACTGAAATTGAAAGATTGAACCCTTATACTTCTTTTTGATTTTTGTATTACCTTTATTAAAGTTACCCTTATGTATAAATAAATATAATTACGTATGTAGAAATAAAATTGATTTTCATCCTCATCAATCATTGGGGTGAGGATAATATCTGCTAGCATAAGTAATAAGCAGGCTAAGTTACAAGGTGCTCAGTTCAAAAATTAGTAGGTAACTTTTCAATACGTGACACGTAAAAATTAACAATAATCAAAAACACATATGCGAAACATCCTATTTATTTATTTATTTTTTATTGCACCAAATATTTGTACAAAAGCCGAGCTATCTATTTATTTACCTATAGTGAATAGGTATCTTTTAAACTCACAATTTTCAATGCTTCAGTTTTAAT